TTAATAGGCTAAAACAACACCGATACTGTGGATAACTGGGGGGGGATACCAAACATATATATATATATATATATGTATATACATACAAACGTACATGCATACATGCATACATGCATACAAGCATACATGCATACATGCATACATGCATACATACATACATACATACGTACATACATACATACATACATACATACATACATACAATGTACGTGCACACGTCCGCGTCGTGCGCGTCTACATATGTATTTACACAATCTACATCGTCTTTATGCGAGCATGTTTCACCAACTGTTCGACATACCACAAGAACAACTATAAACACCCAACAATTGATGGGGAAGCGTGAAAGCCTAAGGTCCTGAACGCTAATCTCAGCTTGGCCTGTGTCTCCCACTCCGTGTATGTGATGGCACGCCTGAGCTTTGCAGGATAGGGGCCCACATACGTTTAACATGTTGGTGTTGTAATTTTGCCGAAAGTATAGCTAGAAGCTCACACAAGTATATACCCGAAACCCTGCTCTAAGTACAAAGAAATCCGCAATTTTAGGCAGGGATCAAGACCATGACTGAGAGAGTCCAAGGCTGATGGCGTTTAAAGCTTAGGCTTGACTAGGCTGTGCGGCTTGAGGCCTTCAGGACTTCATGGGTTGAAGGCTGTAAGGGCCTTAACAAATTAGGATTGGGTTTTGGGGGGCTACTTATTATAATTATAGTATACGATACCCCACAAAATCCTATTCTAATTATTAAGACCCCTAAGAGTACAGGGTTTAGGGTTCAGGATGTTGGTGGTTTCACTCTTCGAACTTAGCACTTAATTAGGGCTCGGGACTTCCGAGCTTCGTGGCAAGAGGGCGCTGCAGCTGCACGTGCGCACCCTACGTCGGCAGACATCACAAAATTACTCTAACCCTCCAGGTACCTACTATATAGGACCCTTGGGGCTCTAGTACCCTATATAGTAGGTACCTGAAAGGTTAGGGTTAGACACCTGTGTGGCCATGAGCGCGGAGGCCGAAACTTGAATCCCAGGATGCAGAAGTTGGCGTCTGCCCTCAGCATGGTCCAAGGGTTTAGGGTTTAGGGTTTAGGAAAGACCCGTTGCTTGGCTCCCTGCCGTATACAGCACTCAGAAAGGGGGTCCTGTGCAACAGCACAACTTTCAGGCTCGAGGGCAGAAAGCCTAAAAGTTCCTCGGCGGCCCATGACATTCCTCGGAGATCATACTATAGGGGCACTTAATAATTAGAATAGGGTTTTGGGGCCCATTAGTATACAATAGTTATAACAAGGAACACACAACAATCGTAGGGGTATTAGGGCCCTAAAGTAGCCCTAAAGTTTCTCAGCTCTAAGCTCTCGCCCGCAAAGTTTCCGGCTCGTCCTGGGCCGTGGGATTCGCCTTCAACAGCTCCTCCCGCAGTTCATTGACGAGAACGACCTCCGGACAGAAGGGTATTTGGCTTAGGGCGTAGGGTTTAGGGCTATCAAACACATAAATAGATACAATAAATCAATAAATAAATAAATACATATATATATATATACATACATATATATATATATATATATATACATATACAAGGTTGAGGCTTTAGGGTTTAGGTTCTAGGGCTTACTTATATATATATATATATACACACACGTAGACCTTGAGAGGGGTTGCTGAAGGTAGGTTCTCAAGGGTCGGAGCTTCCTCGGGTCAGAGTTTGGCGCCCGGAGGGCTTACATAGGTCGATGTAGGCTCCAAGGTTCAGGGTCTATAGGGTTTAGGGT